GGAGCTCTTTACTACATGTCCACCTGATCCGCCATCTTGTTTGTTCTGTCCTGAGATGCTTTTTAAAAGTGAGTTTTCTCTCATCAACTGGGGCTGTTTGGGAACTTTGATAGCTGTATTTTTAAGCACATTCCAAGTGACTGATAATTAGGTAGAGTTGAATCAGGATCTTTCGATGACACAGAAACACCTGAAACTACCTCAAGGTTAAAGGAGGGTTGTTAGCAAGATGAGGGGACCATCCTGCAGCCCAGCTTAAAGCTGTCTGGGCTTTTTTCTCTGCCACTCTCTGCTACTATTTTTTTCCCCTAGACTACTCTCTTCTAACCTGGGTTCACATGAGGCTGTGCGCAGGTTCCAAGGCTCTCATCTATCTGGGCATCTTAGCTCAAATTCTCTCTGCAAAAGCTGTCCATGACATGAGCAGGGGCCTGCAGAGAGGAGTCATGTGACACTGGGGTAGCAATGGGGTGGAGGGGTACTAGGACTCACCCCTCTTCCGAGTTACCAATCCTTGGGGCCCTCATTTGACAGTTCCAAGACACTCAAGATACAGATCAGGCCTCCAGGGCCAAACCTCTTAGAGGGCAGAGGTAGACTTCCTGAGCAGATGTCCCAGAAGTTAATTCTATCCATGTCTATCCTGGGTCCTGTCTCAATGGGCCTTCTCTCCTCTTCCTTCCCACAGCCTGCCGTGGAGGTGCCCCAGTATGTGGGTATCCGGCTCCTGGTAGAAGGCTCTACCATCAAGAAGCCCATGGCGATGTGTCACCGGCGGATGGTAATCCGCCCAGCCCTCCCTCATCTGCTGACCCAGCGAGACTCTGGGGAAGGCAAGGACTCAAGGGCCCTCACCTACAGGTCAGCTCCTAGGAAAGTTGCCGGGGCCAGGAGCCTGGGGCACATTGAGAAGCCAGACTCCACTGCCACCACCTCGACCCCAGGAAATGAGAAGAAAGGCAAGGCCAAAAGTGCCACAGCCCTGGTCCACCCCAATCTCTGGAAGTGGGACCCCCCTGATACCAGGAAGGGCTGCATTTTCACCATGACCTTTGCTAGTGGGGACAGGCAATCCCACCCCTTGAACAGACTGTCACTGGGTCCGAAGAACCCCCAGACCCTGGGTAAGACCACTGCCCCTAAACTCCCTAGTGTTCCCTGGCCATTTCTTCCTACTCTCTAAGACCTTGGCAAAAAACCCTGCATTTTGTCCCCTACCCCTTTCCAAGAACCACCCAGCAAGCAAGAATCGTTTCCCAAATATTTTTTTAAATATACTACCAAATAAGTCTTGCCCCTCCAAAGTAGGCTTCCTGTGAGGCTGTGAGGCTTATTCAAAGATGCCAGGACTCAACCACAGGTTGCTGTCTCTCCAGAGGCCAAGCTTTGAATGCTGCAGTATTCTGCCTTTGCCTCCACGCAAAGTCTTCTCTGGAGGATAGGAACTATTTGTACAGCACTTTACAGTTTACACTGGGTGGCTACCTAATCATGTCCTTTAAGTCCTCCCAACAGTCTAGACAGGTGGGTGCTTTATCCCCATTTTCCAGCCGAGGAAACAGGAAGTTTAAGGAAGTTGTCCGAGGTTGCACAGCTCAGAAGGGACACAGCTGGGACACAGACCCAGGTCTGTTGTACTTTAACCCTGTGTTCTTCCAAGGCTACTGGAGGAGGAACTGGGAGGGCTCTGGTTGTCTTTCCCCTGCTCCCATCCTCCCTGCCTTCAGCCATATACCTTGTGGGACAGCCTTGGGCCCTCCCCAAGCCGGCCCTCATCGCCTTCCTTGCTCCCACAGCACATTACTGTTTCCCCAGCCTCCACACCAAAGTCCGGCTGCCTTCTCCCCATGTATTCCGGTCCCAGGGGCGGGGCCTTAGACTGCAGCACAAGCTGGTGGGCTCTAGGGCACAGGCAACCCCAGGCAAAGCCTTGATGACTCTACCAATGGCCAAGGTTTTGATTGCTCTCCCACCTAAACCTGAGCTCTGGCCAGTACCCAGCAAGAGACCAAACAAGGTGGGCCTCCAACTGTGACCTGCATGCTGACAGGCCATGCTGAGCACTGGGGTCAGGGCTGGAGGACAAAGTCAGAGGGCAGCTCCCAGGTTGGCTGGAGCCCCAAGGGAAGGGCTGGTTTCTCTTGGAATTCCCTTCCCAGACCCCTTCCTGAATGGATTTCCTGATCATTTCTTCCTCCTCTCTCCTCCTTACACCGAGGCTGTTGCTACCCAGAGCCTTCGAGGCCCGCATCCTGGAAGTGCCCTGTGGCATTTATCCTTTGAAGTTGGAGAGCTTCCTATCACCTGTAGAAAGGTCAAGGCCAAAGGCAAGTTCAAGGCCAGACTTTGCAACAAACCCAAGGAAAGGCTGAGCCTCCCTTTTTTACCCCTTACCGGTACACACCAGAGGCTGGAGGGTACAGGGAGTGCAAGGCTAGAAAAACCTTTGCTTCGGTCCCCACTGTTCCTGTCCTGGATTCAGAGCCAAATTAAAAGGAGCAAGTGAAGGAATCTGGGCTTAGCTCCATTTCAATTGGAGGGTGAAGAGGACAGGGTGGGGTCCTAGCTTGTCATCATCCTAGATAGTTGGAAGCCATCCGCATCATCTCCAAGGAACAAGGCCCAGAATTCTCACCTACTGCCCAAACTATGGAGCTTCCTACTCTGGTACCTCTGATCCTTGGGTGGGGGTTAGGAGATGAATTGCATTTTACAGACAAGGAAATTGAGTCTGAGAAGAGATATGGGGTTTGCCCAAGGTCACATGAGAGTGAACAGGAGGCAAGGACTCATGACAAGACTGAAGTCTCCTGGGCACAGGACCACCAACATGACACAGAGACCTGTTCTGTAAGGGAAGTGTGCCAAAGTCACCTGAACAGGAAACAGCCAACAAGCCACACCCACGTGTGGTATTTCCTGGTTGCAGCGGGTTGAGTGTGGCTCCCCAAACCATGTCCATCTGGAACTGTAGATGTGACCTTGTTTGCAAAAAAGATCTTTGCTTATGTAATGAAGATCTTGAGATGATCCTGGGCCCCAAATCCAATGACAAGTATCCTTCTAAGGAACAGAAGACAGACACTAAGGTAAAGGCTGAGGCAGAGACGAGTGATGTAGTCACAAACCACCAGAAGCTGGAAGGGACCACAAAGGATTCTCCCCAAGAAGCTTTGCAGGGAGTGTGGACCTGCCAGCACCTGGACTTTGGCTTCCTGAAATGACTCAATTTCTGTTGCTTTAAGCTACCAAGTTTGTAGTCATTAGTTACGGCAGCCACAGGAAACTAATACAGAAGTCAATTTGAAGTTCCATAGCTTCTGATCCCGAAATTCTCCTAAAAGTGAACCAGAAAAGACAGATTCACAGCAGCACTATGGTTAACAGCCAAGTCACCAGGAATGGTAGAATGAATAAGCTGGTATACCCAAACACTGCAACTCAAATTACACACCACACACCAGGGATACACTTCACAATGTGGAGCAAAAGCAAATCCCCAAAGAATATAGATAGCATGATTCCATTTACGGAAACCTCAAAAACAGACTAAATGGTATACATAGGTGTATATATATGTAAAGCTTAAAAACGATGTGAGGAAACGAGTCCACATCAGAGCAATGGTTTCCAACCTAGACTGAACAGAACTCCTCCTGGGGTTCTGAGTCAGGACGGATGCCAGAGTCTCCACCCCAGACCAAATAACCCAGAACCTCCAAGGTACAGAATCGTCAGAGGCACGGTCATCTTCTCAAGCTTCCCATGAGGGAGATAAAATAACCAGTTGCCATGGAGTCAGTTCCAACCTTATGTGTGTCACAGTGGGGTTTTCAATGCTGGTATTTTACTCATAGATCACCAGGTCTTTCTTCCAAGGTGTTTCTGGGTAGACTCAAACCTCTAACCTTGGGTGAACAGCAGAGCACGTTTGTTCCAATATGGAGTCAGGGATGAGACAGGCTCTCCAAGGAAGGAGAGGGATGCTTCTCTTTTCTGACACGAGTGGTGACTGATTATATGGTGTCATTTTATAATTATCCTTCAAAATGTAGAGATGTGTTTTACGTACTCTTCTGTATGTTTGATATGTTTCACAATCTTTTAAAGTAAAAATCTAACCCGTCTCCTACCAGTCAGGATGGGGTCAGAAAGAGCCAAATAAAAAGACCACATAATTCAACTCAGCAAAACGCATGGTCCATGATAAGCATTTACCTTCTCAGCAAACTCTCAAAACAATACCTTGAGGTAGGTATTTTTATTATTTCAGGTCCAAAGAGGTGAAGTTCTTTGCTCAGTGTCGCACAGGGTGTGGCCTAGCCAGGCCTGTCTGCCTATGGAGTCCAGCATGCAAACTATGGCCTCACCGCGTGCTGAGCTCTGACCTCATCTTCCTGGCAGCAGGTCCCCTCTCTCCTCACCTCTGCAGTGGGCATCAGGAACAGAGGGATAACTGGCGGTGGTGGAGCCCCAGGCACTCCAATGTCCTAGAGAAATAAGGGGGCAGAGGTGCCAAAAGCTCAATGGGGTCATCCTGGAGCTTGGGGCCTGGGAGGATGAGACGGTGCAGGTGGAGGTGCAAAGGCAGCTGGGCAGCCTGGGAGGGGGTCAGGTGGAGGCGTCTGAGGAGGGCGTCATCCAGGACCTGGGGGTGGGAGAAGCACGTCAGCATACAGCCCCCGATGTGCCAACAAACTGAGTTTTCAGCTCTACCTGAAATGGACGAGGCAAGTGCTTTCTCCCGGCTACCAGACATGGAGCTGTGTTCATTCCCTCGGTACACACACCCTCACACTGGTAGAGACCACACCGAGTCAGCTTCCTCCTGGGCTTCTTGTGTCTTGGAGAGGCTATGAGATTGAGTTCTAGCCAATGAAATGTGGCTGGAAGGATGTAAAAACCTCCTGGTACTGGCTAGTGAATAAGAGAGACTAGAGAATTGATGCCTTTGAGTTATGATGTTGGTGAAGAATGTTGAAAGTCCTATGGACTGCCAGAAGAACCAACATGTGTGTCTTAGAAGAAGTACATCCAGAATGTTCCTTAGATGCGAGGATGGTGAGGCTTTGTCTCTTGTACTTTGGACATACCAAGAGGGACTAGTGCCTGGGAGAGAACATCATACTTGGAAAAGTGGAGGGTCAGCAAAAAAGAAGACCCCCAGTGAGACAGACGGACACTATGGCTGCAATATTGGGCTCAAAAATCACAACTGTGAGGATGGCGCAGGCAGTGCATGGGTGCTGGTGTGCATGGGGTCACTATGAGTCTGCCACCTAACACACACACACGCACACAAGCACAAAACCTACACCAACCCAGATTGTCTCACCTCACCTGCTGGCTGGTATTACCATTCTATATCCCTATGTGACTGCTTGGAACGAAGTCCCTGACCCCCACTCCACTAATTAGGCTTAACATGAAGGGGTAGTTATATGTGAAGTTTCTGTTACTTTGAGGTTAATGTGTTACAGAGATGGAATTACCTTAATACACACACACTACACACACAATTCTTTTACTCTTTTACCAAATAGACTTAGAAGAGTTAGGAAGTTTAGAAATCAGCCAATTCAATTCCTTTATTGAACTGATAGGCTGAATGTAACTCAATAGAGCGGGTATCACTTGTCTAAGGCTACAGTCTTGGAATCTAAGAGACCTACTGCCCAATCCCAGGCTATATAGCTAACGTTTGAGACTGCCCCCACCTCCCTAGAAGGCAGCAAGCAGGTGGGCTTCGGTACCTGTTTGGGGGACTTGGTGCTCTCAGCTGGCAGCAGAAAGCGCTGGCCCAGGACGGTTCTCATGCGGGCAGAGTACGTGTGGTCTCCAAGCACAGGGCAGAGCTGCAGAGCCATGTGTACCTGTAGTTGACTAGGGAACACTGGGACAGAGGAGAGACGGCAAATGGTGGGCAGCTGTTTTCTGTCCCACCCAGTATTGCCCTTCACCCTTTCCTGAGGGAAACACACCCCGTTCTCAGATCATGTGGTTTCAGTGAGGTTGATGGTACAATTCTAGAGAAGGGAACCTGGCCAGGTCATGACAGCCATAGCATTCAATCCATCAGTCAGTACTACTGATTGATGATGGGACATAATCCTGAAATTACTGTTCAAGTTACTGGGAATAAGGAACTCTTTCTTTCTGGGGTAGCTAAACTGGTGGGATACACGGTTGGAACTGCTGGGGCCATCTTTGCCTTCACCAGAGGTCAGCCTAGGGGACAATGAAGCCAATATGCAGGAAGCAAGAACCGAGAAATGTGGTTCTTCCTGATGACATCCTCTGAGCTTCTGGATCCAGCCATGTCTGAACTCATTTATGCGGGAGAAAAATCCCTTTGGGGAAATTTGTAACCAAGAGTATCTTGACAAATATAGAAATGGGGAGTTATGTGGTAGGCATGGTACTAAATGAGGCTTCAAAGAGCTCATGGAAAAATTTCATTTGTTCCTAAACTTTCTGAAGCCCCCTTGAATGTAAACTGACTTAATCCTCACAACAACTCTGCAAGGCAGGTCCTATTATCAGTCTCATCTTACAGACAGAAAAACTAAAGTCTAAAAAGAAGTGACCTGCCCACCATAAGTTAGAGTTCAAACCCAGGACCATTTCTGGCAGTACAAGAGAACTTCAAAAAAAATAAAAAATGTAAACTTCATTTTACATTAGCTCCATCAAGGTTGAGATGCTTTTGTAAGCAATGATAGCCACTTAGGCCATCAGAAAGGACTGAGGGTAGCGGGAATTCAATCAATTGGCAAGTCATTAACTGAAGAAAATGGTTGTCATTTAAAGATTTTTAAAAGATTGTAGATAAATGCCATCGACTTAGTTCTGGCTCAGTGACCCTGTATAGGGCTTCCAAGGAGCAGCTGGTGGGTTTGAACTGCCAACTTTGTGGTTCACAGCCCAGTGCTGATCCTATAATGCTACACCAGGAGTTCATTTTTTAAGATTGATGGTGGTGGTTATGTGCTGTGGAGTCGGTTCCGACTCACAGCGACCCTGTACAGGTTTTCCGAGGTTGTAAATCTTTACAGGAGCAGAAAGCCTCATCTTTCTCCCATGGAACAGCTGGTAGTTTTAAACTGCTGACCTTGAGGTTAGCAGCCCAATTTGTAACCACTACGCTACTAGAGCTCTTTTTTTAACACTGTTGTTGTTGTTCCGACCCATAGTGACCCTGAACAGGGTTTTCAAAGCTGTAAATCTTTATGGGAGCAGAAAGCCTTCTCTTTCTCCCGCGGAGCAGCTGGTAGTTTCGAACTGCTGACCTTGTGGTTCACAGCCCGATTCGTAACCACTACGCTACCAGAGCTCCTTTTTTAACATTAGGCAACAAGATATCAGGACTCTAAGGTGGATGCTAAGGATTTCTCATCAAAAGTCTCTCACCATTGCCTCATTTAATGTAAAGAATGAGCAGGAACATTACCTTGGTGGAGAAGAACTCTCTGGTGAAGTTTTCCCAGGTGGTTTTCTGCTAAAGCTTTGCTCAACTTTCTCAAAACACTCTCCTAATAAGCAGATGTTATCATGTTAAGTGCCATCGTGTTGGTTCTGACCCATAGCGACCCTCTATAGGGTTTCCGAGGAACAGCTGGTGAGTTTGAACTGCCAACCTTGTGGTTCAAATGGACCTTGTAGTCCAGTCAGTGCTTACCCTATAGCATCCCACTAGGCCAGTTTTTGGCTCTCCAAAAAAATCAACAAGCAGAGCGCCTTTAGCATCTGAAAAAACTGTTGCCATCTTTGCTCTTGACCAGTCTGCTTTTGCTTTGCCTAGACTTGGTACCCATTGCTTTCATTGTGCTGCTTTCAAGATGGTATGGGTAAAACCATGTTTCAGCTCCTGTTATACCAGGGTGAGTCAAAAATTATCTGCACTCTGGCTATAGAATTTATTTTAATCCATTTTTAGAAAAGACAAATACATCATTTTTCAACATTATCTCCTTGCTTTTCAATACACTTTGTCCACCTGTCAACAAGCTTTCAGATCCCCTTAAAAAATAAAAATGTTTTAGGCTGAGCTGTGAGCCATGAATGCACTGTTGTCTTCACTTCTTCATCAGAGGTGAATCTTCATCCTTGAAGGGCTACTTTCAGGGGACCAAACAGGTGAAAGTCTGATGGAACAAGATCAGTACTACAGGGGGGATGCTTTAACACCTCAAAGTTTTTGCTTAGTGTCAACTGTGGGCAGAGATATGTGGACGTGCACTGTCATGCAAAATCACAGCACCCTTGGATAGCAGTCCTCTGCATTGAATCTGAAGTTCAGGCTTCAGCTGTTCAGGGAACATCACACTGTAATGAGCTCTGTTGATTGCTGGACATTTTTCCTGATAGTTTTCCAATACTGGCCCTTAAGAATCCCAGAACATTGTAAGCATCAATCTTCCAGCTGATAGTTGACTTTTGAACTTTTTCTTGGTCAGCAAATGAGGATATTTCCATTCCATACTCTGCTGTTTATACTTGGTCTCGTAGTGGTGAATCCATGTCTTGTCACCAGTACTGATTTTTTTCAAAACACTTTTACCTTCCTTTGAGTATCAATCTAAATTTTGTTTGCAGATGTACAAACACTTCAGCTTATGCTCTTCTGGGAGTTTTGTTGGTACCCATCTCACTCAAACTTTTTGAAACCCAAGTCTGCTGTGGATCTTTTCATAGGCAGAGCCATGGCTGACTTTCAAATGACTTGTCATGTATTCCACTGTCACTCATGTATTTAACAGAATCATTTCACGTGCACACTCAATGTTGTCATCAGCTGTGGATAGGAGTTTTAATACAACAGAGTGTGGATAATTTTTGACTAACCCACCCCTCATAATTCTTCAAAGAAATACTTCAGAATCTCGATCCCACTTGTTTAAAATTCCCATTGAAAGTTCTGCTCTTGTCAACAGCAAATCTGGGTGCAGCAGTTTGGGTACTCATTAAGTGGAGCATTTGTTCAACATTCATTTTTCAGTCAGAACTGTGTAAGTGGAACCAGTTGACTTTTAATCAATGGTCCTCTTCAATTAGGGCACAAGGAAAAAAATGAAGCCACTTTGAGCTTCATCTTCAACATCGTCTTGTTCCTTCTTAAAATGAGTTATCCATTTGTAAACTGCTGATTTGCGGGAGGGACACTGTCTCTGTAAACTTTGTACAGAATCGATTGTAAGCATCAATCTTCCAGCTGATAGTTGACTTTTGAACTTTTTCTTGGTCAGCAAATGGTCACCAAGCTTCACCATAAATTTGATGCTTACTCATGCATCAAATTTAGCAGAAGTCATGTTACTTTGATAGGGTTTTTTTCCAACTGATAATATTATTCTTAGTGTCTCAAATTAAATCCTGTTTAGACATGTTATAACAAGTTAGTATAAGTTTATGTTGGTGCAAAAAAAAAAAAAAGGAAATCCACGCATAGTTTTTTTCATATTTTTGAAGATGGCTCCTATAGTGGAATGGATAATCTATAAAAACTCTCTTTGCTACAAACTACGTAGAAACACTGGAGAAAATATAACAATCATCCTTTTAAGTACTCAGCTGAGCACACAGGAACGTTAAGGTTCCTGAGACCAAAATACAAAAAGAAAAACAAATGGTGAGTACAAAACACCTGTTCTAAGGTTGGCATCCAAGGAATTTGGGTTTTAATAGCTATCTGGGACCAGAGGTGAGGCTTTGGTGCCCAAATGAAATCCTAGAGGAACTATGCCTTCAGGAGAAAAAGCAGCCACCAATGAAGGCAGATGCCCACCTTAGGTCGTGGGGTATTACAAAAGGTCTCCTCTGAAAATTCACAACCAGGAGCCGACTCCCACAGGTTTAGAGCAAATGTTTATACCATATGAATGATCCGTGAACTACCAACTAGGACCTAGAGAACCTAAAGTAGAGAACCTCTAGAGTAGTGATATTCCTGGAACTTCTTAGCATAAGCCGAAGCTGAACCTCTTTGAAAAAGCTCCACCTCCTCTCCAATGCACGTAATAAAAGATTCCAATAGATAAAAGGCTCAGCTGAGCATGAATTCACAGTGCTGAATCACAGAACTATGAAATAACCCCACCAAGTGTGAGAGCCAACAGGAAACACTCTAAGATTAGACCCTTTAGAGTTTCAGACAATGAAATGATCATAAATAGAATATGTTGTTATTAAGTGCCGTTAAGTTGGTTCCGACTCATAGTGACCCTGTATAAGGTTTCCGAGAAGCAGCTGGTGGGTTTGAACGTCCAACTTTGCGGTTAGCAGTCCGGTACTTATCCTACAGTGCCATATCAGGACTCCAAAACAGAATACAAACATGTATAAAATTATTAAAGCTATAAAAGAACAAAGAACATGAGAAAATAAGATGTTTCTTAAAGGCCATTTGCATCTGGAAAAGAAAAGAAAATTTCTAGAAATGAAAAATACAGTCAACAGATGGGCTAAACTGGCAGATAAGACCCAATTGAAGAGAAAATTATTCAACTGAAAGATAGATCCAAAGGAATTACCCAGAATGCAACAGAGACAGAAAATACAAACGGATAAGAAACATAGTAAGTAAAATGAAAAGGTCAGATGTTTCTATTGGAAATTCAAAAGGAAGAGAACAGAGAATGCAGAGGGGGAAACATTTAAAGAGAAAAGAGAATTTTGCAGAATTGATGAAATATGATAATCCTCAGATTCAAGTACCTGGATTCCAATCAAGATAGCTGACTCCATCCACCTAGATTCATCATAGTGAAATTGCAAGACACTACAGACAGAAAGATTCTGACAGCAGTAAAGAGAGAGAAAATACAAGATGAATGATGATTAGACTGATAGCACAAATGCTTCCTTCTGCAGCTGGGCCTGATCAGAATCCTATTACCACCTTTTTCTCTCCTCTTTACCGCCCCCAGTCAAATCCAGGTGCTCCATACCCACCTGTCAGTGGCTGCAGCTGAATGAGAGCACAGCCAGAGCCTGTGGCCACCACCTGGAAGTGGCTGATAGTCCTCTTGACACCTTCCAGGATGTCCTTTCGGGATGGGGGCTTCACTGGAACTACCTGCAGTACCAACCCCCCAAAATAAACCACCTTCACACATGCTGGGAGCTACACCCAGACTCTCCTGGAGCAGACTCAATCCAGGGCCACAGGAGAGCCAGCCACCCCAAGTCTACACCCTTCACTCTTCTGTTAGGGACACTGTAAAAAGACACTTCCTCAACATGACTCACAAGATCGACCCCGTCAATGTGTTCCAGTTTCAGAGCTGCTTGGATCTGGCCCTGAGAAGTAGCTGGGATCCCATCAGTGATGGCACTGCAAGGTGAAAGGGGCAGGAGGAAGTCCCAGAGTGGCCTGCTGGGACCTCCCTCCCACTGCCCTGGGAGCCACCTAACAAACACATCTCACCAATAGGTAGCTGTGGGTCTTTGGGCTCTTCTTGAGTGAGTGAAGAACTTCTGGAGGTGGTTTGCAGTCTGGGGACAACTGGAAAGAAGGACAAGCCCAGAGCAATCCCTGGAGAAAGGGGACAATTCATACAAGTTTAAGTTTGTGTGTGGCTCAAGGCCAAACAGTAAACACCAGGACAAGAATAACCCAGATATCCTCCTGATAACAGGAAGGCTTCCCCTGGTTTGATAACCAGACTATGTAACTTAAATGTTTTTTTCATTTTGCCCTGGCCCCCAGGTAGTTCAGAGCCAAACGTCATAAAAATTACTGCTGAGTGTCTAAGGATCCCTGGTGGCACAATGGGCAAGTGCTTGGCTGCTAACTGAAAGGTTAGCAGTTCTAACCCACCTTACAACTCTATGGGAGAAAGACCTAGCAATCTGTTTCCATAGACTACAGCCTAGAAAACCCTATGTGACAGTTCTATTCTGTCATATGAGGCCCCCTGAGTTGGAATCAAGGGCACCCAACAATAGCTGAAAAGCTACACCAGGATTTTATATATGTTGTTGTTGTGCATCGTTAAGTCAGTTCCGACTCATAGTGACCCTGTATAGGCTTTCCAAGGCCGTAAATCTCTATGGAAGCAGAAAGCTTCATCTTTCTCCCATGGAACAGCTGGTAGATTTGAACTGCTGACCCTGCAGTTAACAGAGTAACGCATAATGCACTAAAACGTTTGACAACACAACTTCCTATTTACAATTCAATGACACTAATTCTATTTTTCATGTTGTGCCACCATTATCACTATCCTTTTCCAAAATATTCCACCACCATTAACATAAATTCTATATTCTCCAAACAAAAAGTTCCCCTTCCCTTCTTCCCGTCTCTGGTAATCATTGATAACCTTTGGTTTCAGTCTATTTGCTGATTTTATATAAGTGAGATCATATAGTATTTGACCTTTTGCAGCTGACTTATTTGCTCAGTGTAGTGTTTTCACTACTGTGGCATGCATAGGGCTTCACTTCTCTTGAAATGCTGTGTAACATTTCCTTCTGTGTAGATCACATTTTGTTTATGCATTCATTTGTTGAGGCCCACTTTGGTTTTTCCCACCTTTTGACAATGGGGAGCAGTGCTGCAGAGCACACTGGTATCCACGTTTCTGTTTGCATCGCCGCCTGCACTTCTTTTGAGTATACACCTCGGATCAGGATTGCTGGGTCTCTATGTTAACTCTTCCATAATTAAATTGATCAAAAGCCCATGAGTCTGTGGACTTGCCAAAAGATTTCATTTCAAGGGACATCTCTGATTGATGGCAGTCGGAGGAAAGAGTATCAGTACCGACTAGCACTGTTTGCCATGGGGATGGAATTGGGAACATGTCTGCACACAGAGCGTGATATAGGTATTATTATCTCTATTTTAAGTGAAAATGACTGAGGCTCAGAAAGATTTTGTTCTTTGCCTAGGATCACACAGTTTATACATGCAACAGTCGGGATTTGAACCCAGATCTGTCAGTTTCCCCTTTTCACAGCCCTCAGATCTGTCAGTTTCCCCTTTTCACAGCCCTCAGATCCTACCTCTACCTTCTTATTACCCCCTATCACTTACTTCCCAGGTGCTCGGACAACCTGAAGCTCCTGCTCCTTAAGGCCGAGGGACTGGCTTAACTCGGGCAGCACAGAGATCAGGGTCAGGTCTCCTGGTTTTCCTGGGAAAGAAGAGTAAGTCCAAGTTGATCTCAAAGGCCAAAGTTTTATCCCACATCCCTTTCTCTTCATCCCCCACCCCACCCCCCACACACACCAGACATGAAATCCCTTCCCTTGCCCACTTTCCCTACCTGATACTGGTAGTCCCTGTGGCTTGTTGACTGTCACTAAAGGTCCTAAAACACATGAAATGAGAAGAACATCAGCAAAAGCAACAATCTCTGGACAACACTTTCTCGTTTACCTTAGGACAAGCTCAATGACAACTCTAGGTCAAGACTTATCAACCCCATCCTAAACTGAACGTTTTCTGTCCCTTAAATATGCCATATGACCTCCTCACAGACTTCACATTTGTCATTTCCTCAGCCCCAGATTTTCAGATGTCTGGTTCTCACAGATAACACCTTGGCTCACAGGTATCACTTTAAGGAGACCTGATGTCACTATAGGATAAGCACTGGACTGCAAGGTTGGTTTGAACCATAAGATTGGTGGTTCAAACTCACCAGCTGCTCTTCAGGAACCCTACATAGGGTCGCTATGAGTCGGAATCAACTCAACGGCACTTAACAACATCACTATTAAGTAATGTGTTCATTTATTTTCTGGTGAATTCATTTCTCCTGCCAGAATGTTGGCTTTCAGAGGGCAGGAGACCCATTTATTTCGTTCAGCACTGGCTAGACAGTGATACAAATATAGCAGGTACACAAGAATCAGCAGTTTAAAAAATGAATAAATCACTGAATGGAGAAACTAAGGTTCAGAGAAATTCATTTTCCCAAATTCACATAGCAGGCTGGTACTGAGCCTACATATGTCTGACACCAAAGCCTGAGTTTTGTCCATTAATAGACATTAATTTATTGCTATAGAAGTCCCCATAACTGAGTCCTATTATGTGCAAGGCTCTCTAGTAATTTACATACACACACATCCCTACTGTGATGAGGTTCAGAGAGGTTGCTGCTGAATGTGGTGCATCCTGCTAGTATTTGAACACGGAGCTTGTCAGATTTCACACCTCAAGGCTTCCTTCCTAGTAGGCTTGAAGCGGAAGGCTCCCCTCCTGAGTCTTACCCCTCACCTTTCTGATCCACCACAGCTGCTCTCAGCACATCAACCAGTTCCTGGCGACTGAGCTCTTCAGGCCGCGCCAGCCCAGGGAATGGCTGCTCACCCGGGGATCCCGACAGTTTACTGGAGCTTCCAGGTTGCAGCTTACGCCTGGTAAAGATGAGAAGCAGCAGCTGTGTCCACACAGCTCTCTCCAAATCCTGCCGCCTCCTCAGACTGTCTGGGTGGGGCTTCCCTAAAAGTCAGGTTCAAATGGCCCCTTTAGAGAGTTGGGAACTGCACAGAGGGCCAAGTGACTTGCTTAGGGGCACACGACAAAGCCGGCATTAGCGCCCATATCAAACTCCAGATTCCGCACACACCCGCCCCTTGCCTCTCTTCCACATTAGGGGAGGGTGTAATCACCAGGCCCTGGTAGAAAGCCTGCGGCCTTGGGCGCTACGCAGACCCCCGAGCCGCACCGCCAGGCAGCTGAGACCCATCCCGAAACACCGCAGCCAACTATCTCCGGTACAAAGACAGTACGCATGTGTTTCCAGAAGCACGAACCACCCCCTGCCGCCCCGTATACCTTCTGCGCGCTGATTGGCCTGATTGACTGTCAATCAAATAGGAGGAGGCCGCGCCAGAACTGAAAGCTTTGCTTCCGCCACGGAAGGAGATGTGTTGGGGAAAAGGAGGTACAGGCCTAGGCCAAAACTAAGACGAAATATCAAGGTTTTCTGTATACCATTGCTATTTTTAGGAGTCATGTGACCTTAGAAAAACACCAATGTGCATAATTTCGTAAGGCAGGTTGGCAATAAAACACAACACCCTTTGGCCCAGTAAACCTCCTAGAACACAGCTTGTTGCATAATATAAAAGGAGAAAAAGGCCAAAGGCGGAAAGAGATGAACTACAACTACGCAAAGCAAAACAAAATAAATTTCAGAACGTGGAAACATTATACTGTGGGGTCACTAGTGGTGGTTGGTGGTTGTGGGCTGTTGGGTCGGTTCTGACTCACAGTGATCCTGCATAGGGTTTCCGAGGCTACATCTTTATCAGAGCAGAAAGCCTTATCTTTCTCCCGCGGAGAGTCGAACTTCTGACCTAACCCACTACGTTACCAGGGCGCCTTGTGGTGGGATCTATTGTTGTTAAGTGCAGTGGAGTGCGTTCCGATTCATAGTGACCCTGTACAGGGTTTCCCAGGCTGTAAATCTTACAGGAGCAGAAAGCCTCCTCTTTCTCTCATGGAACAGCTGGTAGTTTCGAACTACTGACCCTGAGGTTAGCAGCCCGATTTGTAACCACTGAGTTACCAGAGCGGGAAATAAAATGAATACAGAACTTACTGAACAGTTTTTTTTAATGCTAACTCTGGTGGCAATGGCCAAGTGCAGAGCTACTAACTGAAAGGATTGTTGTTAAGTGCTGTCAAGTCTCTTACAACTCAGTGACCCTGTATCATGTTTTCAAGGAGCAGCTAGTGGGTTTGAACTGCTGACTTTGTGGTTCGCAGTCCAATGCTAATCCTACAACATCACACCAAGAATCCGCCTGAAAGGATAGTTGGTTCAAACTCACCCAGCAGAACCCACGCCAGCAAAGATTACAAGAAAACCCCATGGGACAGTTCCACTCTGACACATTAAGTGACTATGAGCTGAAATCAACCTAGGGCCTTAACTATAACAAACACAGACCTGAGCTTCTCTGTGCTGGAAACATAGATTCACAAGATTCAGGGCCTGCCTGCAGAAGCTCACAGAGTTGAGAGAGGATTGGAGTCACAGTATGACAATTCACCTTGCTAAATGCATGCAAATGAGAGAGAAGAAGAAGAGGTGACACCTGAGATCAGAGTGAGCTTCCAAGCAAAAGGATCCTCTGAAATGAGTGCTGAAGAACTACTGTAATAAACTTCACCAAGAGAATAGGTATGGGGAGGAGAAAAGGGTAAGCAGAAAGACAGAGCAATGATGAGAAGAAAAAGATGAATGGGAGAGAAAGAAAAAAAAGTAAAGTTCTATCCCATAATTGTTCTCAGGTGTCGATTCTGAACCACAGTAATCCCATGTGACAGAGTAGAACTGCCACATAGGGTTTTCTTGGCTGTAATCGTTACGGAAGCAGATCACAAATCCTATAATTCTAACTACAGAAAAGCTATGTCTAGCCTGTGTGTTTACTAAGTGCACTATAACTTTTTCAATTGATTATTTAATTAGCAAAAACTGTAAATAACTTAAATCCATCAACAGAACATTATTTAAATAAATTGCAGTACAATAAAACCTACACAAGGCAGACTTGCATAAAGCAGAAACCTGTCAAAAAGGAAAACTCAAATATTTTCCACTAAAATGAACGACATAAAAATGGTAAGGCAGAAAATTTGCAAGACCTAACGAAACAAGGCAATCCCATTGAGATCAGACTTTCAAAGGTAGGTATATCCTTACTATGCAGCCATTAATAAAAATATGTAGGCCTATATGCCATATCCAGATCAGTCATGAGGTACAGCGCTGTCTGTGATAGGATAATATCCATGTGCCTAAAGGGAAGACCACTTAATACCACTATTATTCAAATTTACGCACCAAGCACTAAAGCCATTGAAGATGAAATAGAAGAATTCTACCAACTTCTTCAATCTGAAACTTATCAAACATGCAATCAAGATGTAGTGATCATTACTGCTGATTGGAATGCAAAGGTTGGAGGCAAAGAGGAAGGATCAGTAGTTGGAAAAATGGCCTTGGTTATAGAAATGATGCTGGAGAACACACAATAGAATTCTGCAAAATCAATGATTTGTTCATTTCAAATACCTTCTTTAGACAGCATAAGAGATGACTATACACATGGCCCTCACCAGATGGAATACATAGAAATCAAACTGACTACATCTGTGGAAAGAGACAATGAAAGAGCTCCATATCATTAGTGAAAACAAGGCCAGGGGCAGACTGTGGTACAATTACTCATTTACTCATATGCAAATTTAAACTGAAGTTGAAGAAAATGAAAACAAGTCCATAAGAGCCAAAATATGACCTTGAATAGATCCCACGTGAATTTAGGGATCATCTGAAGAACAGATTTCATACATTAAACACTAAAGACTGAAGACCAGAAGGGTTGTGGGATGACATCAAGAACATCATACATGAAGAAAGTAAAAAGTCATTGAGAAGACAAGAAAGAAGGAAAAGGTCAAAATGGATGACAGAAGAGACCCTGAAACTTGCTCTCCAGTGTAGACATGCTAAAGCAAATGGAAGAAATGAGGAGGTCCAAGAGCTGAATAGAAAATTTCAAAGATCAGCTTGAGAAGATAAAGCCAAATATTACAACAAAATGTGCAAAGATCTGGAATCAGAAAACCAAAAAGGAAGAACACACTCACCATTTCTCAAGCTGGGGGAAC